TGTGACTGGAGCAGTGAAGCTGCATGTGGATGAGTTGGTAAGCCTCTAGGAAACTTTTTTTTGCTGCCTTCATGCCATCACCCACTTCTCTCACTCCGTCATCCCCATCTACCCATTCGCCAGCCTCAGAGAATCACCGCCTCACACCTGGGCCGAACTGTGACATGGTTGGCCTCAGCCCCCTCCACTTACTCACCCCCCTTCCCTTTTCCCTGCTCCCATTTCTCTTGAAGTTCACTCAGCCCCCAGGTTTTTTCCCTACTCCCACTGCTCCCAGGAGGGTATCAGAGGCACTCATTTACCCTTGAATAAGAAGGACTAATATGTGTAAGAATTTTTTCTGTCTTCCTAACCCCACTACCCATAATTCTGTGTTCACACCTTCAGTTAATGAAGGGACTTCTGGCATCAGCAAGCAGCAGACCTCAGCTTCCCCCTGTCAACCTGGACACTGAAAAGGGAACAGACCCCTCCTTACCCTTGGGAAGTCCCTGCAGCTCAGTCCTGAGAGGTCCCGTTCACTGGTCCCTCTGCTTTGCGCTGAGTCTGGTCACAGGCCCCTTATATAGCAGCTAGAGCCGGAGTCCAAATCCAGAGAGGGAAATACCGTATAATTATAAGAGACCAGACAGATTTGCTCTGCAAATTGGGCAGTGAGCCCCAAAACCACAAGGGTTTGCGGTTTGTGGTTAATTCCAAGAGCTGTGTTCAGCCCTGGATGGTGTCACATGAGCTGGGGTTTATCAGCCCCTGGTGTAGGCATATTCCTGGAGACCCCCCTCCCCCGGCTAGGCCCCTAGATGGGTGAACTGGAAACATCCCCAAATGCATCTATCTAGTTTCCAGCTCTATGGCGGGCACTGCTCTCTCCAGATGGTCTGGGCAGGCAGGATGTGCCCCAACTGGACTCAGCATCAGGCTCAAAGCCTGCTCCGTCCCCAGCTCACTGCATGATTTTGAGCCAGCCACTTCCCTTCTCTGTCCCTCTTGTTACTTCCATCTGTTAAATGGGTGCGATACCCACCTCACCGGACTGGTGTGAGAATTCAGGAAGATGTGTATGGATCCAACTTTTCAAATTTGAGGCTGGTGTGAAGAGAAAGAACAGTTGGGGTTTTTTTGAGCTGAAGGCTTTCTCCCTGTAGTTCGTTATGAAATGATCTTCCACACGTGCAGCAAAGTTGAAATCATTGTACAGTGAACACCCATATACTTGCCACCTTATACCCACCAGCTACTTCTAGCATTAAAACTGTTATAATTCCTTTATCACATATCCATACGTCCTTTTTTATGTATTTCAACATAAGTTGCAGACTTATACTTCAACATCTCTGCTATTAAGATTCCTTCCTTTAAATGTAAAATTTACATACAGTAAAATTCACAAATCTTAAATGTTCATTTGTGGAGTTTTGGCAATGTTATACAGCCATGTGGCCCACCGCCCTATCTCAATATAGAGCATCTCCACCACCTCAGAACGTTCCCTTCTGCCCCTTCCCAGTCAATACCTGCTCCCACCCTCAGAGGCAGCCACTGCCCCCTTCAAGACCGCTGAGACCCAGCCCAGACCTCTTCCTTGGCACTCAAGGCAAGTCTGCCTTCCACACTCAGCCCTGCTTCTGCCCCAGCCTCCTGCCTCTGGGCCTGCGGTTTGAAGACAGTGATAGGAACAACCTGGCCTCAAAAGGATGTGCGGAGGGGTGAGTGACTTAATCATGCAATGTGCTGAGAACAGGGCCTGGCACACAGTAGGTGCTCAGATGGCGGCGTATTCATCCTCATCACCCTGGGCCCTCGCTGACTCCTTGTGGCGGCAAGTCTTCGAAAGCCATGAGGGGTGTGAGGAGGTGCCTCAGCCCGGGGCCTGGACCCCCTTATGCCCCACCATCTGTGGGGGTTGGGAGGGCTCCAAGGACAGGGACCCCAAGAGTCATGCACCTGTGCTTCCACCTCCCCTCTGTCCTCTGTGACCTGATGGTCACTTCTCCTCCAGGACCTCAGTCTGGCCATCTGAGAAGTGGACTTCATTGCACCTTTCCAGTAGGGTTTGGAGGATTACATAGGAAGGCTCCTGGAGCCTCGTGGAGGCTCAGTAGACAGCATCTCCCCATTGCCTCCCACTTAGTGTGATATAAGTGCTCGTTCAACAGATATATTGCCTTTTTAAACTGAAATACAATACAAAGAGGGCCATGTGGCTCCTCCACCCCCTTCCGCAAGGGACCAATGCACATTGTAAACTGCAGGGGGCAGTGCACACACAAAGGTGGTTACTGTCAGTCACATGAGGCCTCAGCCCTGAGCCAGAAGGCAGGCCTACCCCCTGGGCTCCAGGAGGATTAGTGTAACTGGCGCCTCAGGGAGGTCACCTGGGCTTAGCGTCCAAAGGCACCTTTGTCTGCAGCTGGAGGGACAGGGCCCTGGGAGGTGACTCACCCAAAGGTGACTCAGCCGTGCAGGGGGCCACGCGGGGGCTCATGCAGGGACCGGGAAACAGAATCAGTCCAGCAGCTCTTGTCTTCCTCATGAGCTGTCAGCCTCAGGGCTGCAGGCTCAGCACCGGGGCTCCCTGCACATCTTATGTCATCCCCCCTCACCCCACCCTAAGTGTGGGTTTAGAGCCTGGGCTTTGAACTCAGAGGCCTGGATCCAAATTCTAACCTCACCATTCCTGTGTGTTGTTGGCAAATCACCTAACCTCTCTGTGCCTCCGTTTCCTCAACTATAGAAGGAAGGTAAAAATAGTTCCTAGAAAGGAGTGTTGATTCAAGGAGTCGATGACATGCTGTATCTACCAGTAAAGCACTTAGAACCGAGTCTGGCACTTAGTAAGCATACGATAAGTGCAGCAAGTACTACTTTTGTAGCATCGCAAAACCCAGGCTTTGGAATGAGGGTCAGAAGCATCTGGTTCAAATCCTGGCCCTTCCACTTAGGAGCTGTCCAAAGGGACTGCTCAGCATCTAACAGTGTCCAGTATACAATAAGCACTCAGAGGAGGTCAGCTGCTCTCATCGCCACTCTGAGCGGCCACAAGACTCACCCGGAAGAGGCAGACACCATCCCTGACCTTGAGGAGGTCTTGGTCAGGTGGGAAAATGGGACCGGGGCAGTGACAATCCCGTGTGGCAAATACAATAACAGGCCCTGCCTGGGGCAAGGCGAGGCTGGCAGCTGCGTGTGCCCATGCATTGAGGGATGATAGGAGTTTGCCAGGCACACTGGGGACAGGGATGCCCCAGGAAGAGGGAAGGGCTGTTCAAAGACCTGACTACCCATCATGCACATTCACCACGTGCCAGGCACTCTTCTTAGTACTTTGATCGTCTCGTTTAATCCTCAAACGACCTATGAGTGAGTCCTATAGCGTTCCCATTTTACAGATGAGGAGCCTGAGGCTCAGGGACAACTCTGCTCTCTCTCCATGCTCCAGGGGGGATTGGCTGAGGCCAGGTCACAGCAGCCTTGAGTGCCAACCTGGGAGTTGGGATGATTTCCTGCTGGGAGTGAGTGTGCACCATCGAAGGGATGTCAGCAGTGAGACCTGGTCTGATGAGATCACGGATGGCGGGCTGGAGAGGATGGGATGGAGGAGAGGAGGGAGGGAGGTCAGGAAGGGGCAGGTGCGGTCCTCATGAGAAATGGGGAGGGTGTGCTGGGGTGTGGGTGGAGAGGAGGAAACAGATGAAGATCGTGGACTAATGCAGCAGTAACACGAGCTAACAGGCCCCGAGAGCTTCTTTAGGGCCAGTCACCATCCTGAGTGCTGGTTAACCCTCAAACCTTATTATTCTCACCCCCAAGTCACTGACGAAGAGAGTCAGGGAGATTACGTGACTCGCCCGAGGCCACACTGCCAGTGCTGGGATGGGATATGAACACAGACAGCTACCTCAGGCTGCTCATTCAACCTCAGCTCTGCCCTGGATGCAGTCAGGAGACGATGGACGTGAGAAAGGAGTCAGAGATAAAGCCTAACATGTCACTTAGTGCCTGGCCTGGCAGTAGAAGGTGCCAGTATTTGCAGGGTGGGTGGATGGGAGGATGAGAGGAAGGGAGGGAGGGAGGATGAATGAATAGATGGGAGGATGGATGGATGGATGGAAGGATGGTCACAGGGTCATTACTAGGGGCAAACCTCAAGATGGGCCCCAACTCTCCTGTGTCCCCCCAAATCCTCAGCCAGTTCCAAAAACTTTGTTGGCACCTCTTTTAAGTGCCATCTTGAGGCCATTTCCCAGAAACGAGGACGTCCATCCTGAAAGCGGGGAAGAGCCCAGAACCAGGAGGCAGGTTTCCCATCCCAACTCTGCCACCATGTGGCACTGGGCCGGCCAGGCCCCTGCCTGGCACCGGTTTCCCCGTCCGCACCACGAGCTTTGGGCATAACTGTGCTCTGAGGGGGTGTCCACGGCTGAAGTGCAGCTCATAGGGATCCTCCAGGACCAGGTCTCCTTGCTTCCTGGAATGCTGGTTCCTTTTCTCCCTGGAAAACTCCTATTCATCTTTCAAAATTCAGCTCAGATGTACTACTGAGAACCCGTGTCCCAAAGTCAGAGAGACAGAGACAGACAGAGACTCAGACAGACTGAGAGACAGACTGAAGGAAGAGGTATTTAGAAAAATGGAGCGGGGGCTGGGGGGTGGAATAAGGAGGGGGACACAGGGAGCTCAGGGCAGAGGTGGAGGGAGGTGGTACAAGACAGGCCAACCAGGTAAGCTTGAGACACAAAGCTACAATGACTAGGCCCCAAGTCCCCTCACCTCCCAGGAGCCCCTGCCTAGAGCGCAGGAAGGCACCAGAGACAGAGGCCAAGGTGGCCTTTGTGGGCCTGGGAACAGACTAGCCAGGAGATGCTGACACAGACGGTTTATTGAAAGCCAGGGACTGGCCACGGTGGCCCCAGAGCTCTCTCTGAAGCAGAATCCTGTGGCTAGCCCTGCGGTCCCCACCCAGGCCAGGGCACAGCTGCAGGGCCAGAGCACCTGGGTGGGTCTGGGCAGATAAGGGACATCTCTACAGTCACTGACACAGGCTAAAGAGACTGGGAGGGAAACTGAGGCAGAGTATGCAGGTCGTCAGGACTTTGGCAGTCAACAAGGCGGGGTAGTGGCCATCTCTCAGCTCAGGATGCCACAGTCAGCACAACAGCATTCTGCAAGGAGCAACGGTTCTTGGTTAGGCTCTCTGAGTCCCTGTGCCCAACACACCTGCCCTGCCCTCCCACCTCCACCCCGGTCTCTGCGTCCATGTCTGTGCCCGCCCATGGCCTGAGGTTAGCGCTGTACCTGGCACACAGCAGGCGCTCATTAAGTGAATGAACGAACAAATAAATGAATGATTAGTAAATGACATCCAGCATGAGAGAGGTCACTGACTTACTGACTTTATGACGTAAAAGACCCAAGTTCAAATGCCGTTTATCCATTAATTTACTGTATTGAACTTGGACCAGAAATTTGACCTCCCTCAGCCTTGGTTCTCATCTGAGAAATGGGTCCAAAACTCTCTGCTCTACCTCCCAGAACTGTCCCAAAACCCAAAGTTGTGCTGGGTTGAAAAAGGATTGTGAGGCTATGTCTACAGTCAACAAGAAAAGTGTCATATTTATTAGCCACGCCTGCCACAGGCACAGGACAAGGAGGGACAGCACATGTGTTTGCCACCCCTGGGCCAAGGGAACTGCCATCCTGTGAGTGAATCTGAGATCCCACCCTAGAGGCCACACATGGGTCTAATTGACCAGGAAAGAACTCTGTGATTGACCGGCAATGCCTGCCATGGGCTAGGCAGGAAGGAGCGGCAGCACTTGTGTCATCTGTTTGCCATTCCCAAGCAGTTGGGAAAACGGTGCCTGGGCAGACCAGGTGATGAGCAGAGCATCCCCTAATGAGTTCCAAGCAAGGCTCTGCACAAACACGCGTAAGGCCCATCTAGACCATACTGCACAGGACACTCACCTCGATGACCTCCAGGACCGCGTGGGCAAAATCGACATTGAGAACCTTGGGCAGGGGGATACCAACATCCAGGTCCACTGTGGAGAGGAAAGGGTTGAAAGCAAAGCTATGTGAGGGGGGCGGGGAGGGGGGACAGCCAGGGCAGGACCTGCTGACCTTATCCCACCACTTCCCTTGAGCCAGCCGTTTCTCTGCCTGGGGACTCCGTTTTTTTTATTGGCAGACTCCTACTTGTCCTACTAAACTCAAATGAAAATGCCCCTTTGCTGTACTGTCATCAGTGGTCCCTCAGCCGAGCCTCCTTGAGGTTCTGTCGGCCCCTTGCACACTCGGGGCCATATATTCTAAGCACTTGCTTATGTGAGCACTTCCCTCTGGATTGTGAGCTTGAGGAGAGGACCCAGGTCAGATAGCTCTTGGGGCCCAGAGTCCGGTGGGATGTAGATGCTGGTCAGTGTTTTGTAAATGGAAATATTGGTGCCTCAATTTCTGCATCTTAGAAATGGGCATCAACCCCTCTCCAACCTCCGTGTCTCTCAGAACAAGGAAAGAGGCAATAGATTTGGCGATCCCAAGTTCAGACACCCCACATGTCCAAAACGACAGCGAAGGCCGCCCCTACCGTTGAGCTTCGGCACATACGCCACCCGGACCACATCACTGAGCCACTCTTCTAAATGGGCCATCTGCAACAGAGCAGAGGGAGGGCGGGGGGGTGGCTTCGAAGGGAGCAGCGCACTCCTTCCAGGGAGGGAAGTCCAAGGTCCAGCTGCCCCAGCCTCCCCCATGACTGGGGACACAGCTCCTTGTGGGCACAGGCCCGAGGGGTGGAATGTCTACCAGTGACCCCACAGGGGACTCTGTGAGTTAGGACCGCTTCACCTGGGCCCCATGAGCTTCGAAGAGCTGCCTTCCTGGAGGAGGGCTCTGTGGAGCCTGGAGGAGGGCCTGTGCATGAGAAAGAAAGAAAGGAGAAGGTACCCAGCTACAGTAGACTCTGTGTGTTCTGACCTTAGGTTCCTACCAACTTACGAACCCTTAGAATGTTCTAGAACCTAGACGATCATGAGATTCCAGAACCACAGAACTCTGTGAGAAGCAGAAAACTAAGGGCTCTGTGGGGCTCTGCAATATTAGAACTTTCTGAGTTCAGGAACCTTAATACTTGTGTAAAGTTCCAGAATTTTGAACCTTTGTGGGATTCTGGAAATTTATGACTTTGTAAGGTTCTAAGATGTTGATAGGTCATGAAATTCAGATTCACTGTCCTCAGGTGATCACACACACACGCCCTGGTGTTTGTCCACTCTGGCTTGAGGAAGAGCTCAGACTGAGGCCAGGTCAGTTGCCTGGCCCATGACTCATCCCACCTCCTGTCCAGCCCCACTAGAAGACGCTCCCCACTACCAAGCTGCTCACCCTCCCAGGAACTTACATCAAAGGGGTGGACAAAGGAAGAGGCCAGCTTGACACTGAGCCTGTTGGAGAGAAGAGAGTTGTTGGGGGTCCCAGCCTCCACCCCAACACCCGTAACAGTGCTCTGCCCCACCCCACCCCACAGCCTGCCCCACCCCTAGCTCTCCGGCATCAGAAAACAGGGTTAAGGCCCAACTCTGTCTCTATCCAGCTTTAACTCAGAGTCTCAGTTTCCCCACCTGTAAAATGGACCTGAAGGGATCTAACCTCCTTCTGAGATATCATGACCACCACCTTCGACTCCATGGTCTTGGAGCCTCAGTCTGACTCCCAGCTGTTGGACTTTGGGCGACTGGGTGGACCTCTCTAAAGAGTGGCCCTCCATAGACTGAGCACTGGACGTAGGGTGCTTGTATCCAGCAGGCACACTAAAGGCCGCAAGCCACTAGTGGATCACAGCTGGCCAAACGCAGGTCCATAGCCAGAGCCTGGCCACAGAGCTCGGGCAGCAGTGGAGTCTTGCAAGGGGCATCTGTATGCAGCCTCAGGGGCCTGCAAGGGACACTCAAATGGGGTCAAGTAAGCACTGGGTGCCTATGGGCCAGGATGGGCAGATCTCAGAGACCCTGGGAAAGCTCCAAATCCAGGGAAGGGACAGAGAGGCACCCGGCCACAGGCCACAGTGAGAGCACTGAGCCTGAGAATGGAGGCCCCGATTGCAGACCTGCATCCAGGGACAGCCCACTGTGCCAGCCTGGGCTTTTCAAATGGTAAAGGGCCATTCCCATGAGGAAGGATTGCCATCATCACCATCACCACGAGGCCTAGTTTCCACAGGGGTGGAGAGATTAGAGAAATAATGAGTCCACCTGAATAACGAAGCGTTTTATAATATTCCAGCTCAGTTATCTCTTTGGCCAACCTCTGGGGCTGATAACTCAGGAGTTTGGACTCCATATCCTGGCAGCAGGTGTATCTCCAGGGCCAGGTTCTGGGCGGGGCTGTGGAAGAAGCCTGCTCTGGATGCTGCTTCTCTGAGCCCCAGGTGCCATCTGTAAAATGGGCTAACCCCATCCCTGCCCCAGCAGGTGCTGGAGGCAACCAAGATGCTGGTAAAACTCCTGCAACTTAGCTGATGGCTGATAAATGGAAGGAGGTTCCTGTAGGTCCCTAATTCTTGGTCCTAAAGACAAGGCCCAGGATCCCATGTTACCGTTCCAGGGACAGGGAGAGGTGCAGCTTGGTAGCCGAGGGAGCCAGCTGGGCATTTAAAGTCATAACCTGCAGGGGGAAAGCAGGCAGAGGTTACTCTGAATTAGACAGAAGGAACTTGAGGACAGGTCTACTTTGGCCAACAGGTGAATCTCCACCGTTCCTTCCACTAACCCTACTGAGGCCCTACTGTGTGTTAGGATCCATGCTGGGCTATGAGGAGGTAACTTGAAGGTTCTGGTGTTCGAGAACTAGAGTTTTAAAACTGAAGGGGCAAAAAACAAACAAACAAACACTGAAGAGGCATCCTGGCCGGGTGGCTCAGGTGGTTGGAGCATCACCCCATACACCAAAAGGTTGTGGGTTCAATTCCCAGTCAGAGCACATACCTAAATTGTGGGTTTGGTCCCCAATTGAGGCATATAAGAGCACATACCTAAATTGTGGGTTTGGTCCCCAGTTGGGGCATATACAGCAGGCAACCAATTGGGATGTTTCTCTCTCACATTCATGTTTCTCTCTCTCTCTCTCTTCCCCTCTCCCCACCCCCCCATCCCCCCCGACACACACACACACACAGGTGAGGATTAAAAACCAATAACTGACGGTAATCCGTTTGTACAAGAGGAAGCTTTGGGCTTGTAGAAGCTTGGGGAGACCCTCAGCCCAGCCTGCAGGGGGGCAAGGGAGGGTGTCCAATGTGGTGAGACCGGAGCTGAATGTTGGAAGATGAGGCATTAGCCTAGAGAAGGGGAGAGACGGTACTGCAGGTGGTGGTGCCTGCACACACAAAGGCAGGGAGGTGGGACTGGCAGCCCTGAGTAAAAGGCAGAGGATGAGGCAGGGGACATGGAATGCTGCTAGGCCATGGGCAGCCAGGGCAGAGCGTGAGCAGGGGAGGGACCTGCCTCTGCCCAGATGTGTGGGGAAAACTAGTAGAGGTGGGGTGGAGAGGAGCAGACTGGAGGTAGGGGGGCCAGGAAGAAGTCAGAGAGTCACCCAAGAGATACCTGAGCACAGAGAGGATGGGGATATGGGGAATCATTCCTGAAATTCCGAGGGAGCAGACTGGACAGGCCTTGTGGGCGCTTGGGTCTTAGCTCAGATGGTGACAATAAAGGAGAGGGGCTTCCTAGGGTGTGCCACCCTGAAATCAGGAGATGGCAACCCTCCAGGGGCCTGGAAAGGATCAGCCCGCTCAGAACCCAGCACCGGGCGCCCATCCCTTAGCCACTCACCCCATTCAGCTCCAAGAGGGCTGCCGGCGTCCCTGCAGGGCGGTGGGGCAGCACGTGGATGTTAGCTGCGATGGAGACTGTGGCCTTCTTTTTCTGGAGTGTGACCGCGGGAGCTTCCTTCACCTGCAGCCTGAGCAGGAGCTGCTGGCCCGGGGGCACCTTCCCCAGGACCTGGAGAGAGGCAGGGAGCAGGGCCTGAGGCAGCTTCGATGACCCACTGATAGAGTCAGCCAGTGACTCCACAGAGTCAACATGCACCCACTGAGCACCCACCACTCACCAGGCACCATGCTGGGTGCTGAGGCTACGGACTGAACCGTGGTCTCAGTCCCCCTGAGAATGACAGTCAGGGGGGGAGACACCACCAACCCATGGAACAAGGGAATCAGACTCTTGTCTCACCCAGACTCAAAATCCCCGAGGCCCACCGGCCCTGCATGATCCCTCCTCTGCCCTCCATCCATCTCACCCCCACCACCGGTCCCCTCATGCCCTTCTCTCCATCTCACCCCCACACCGGTCCCCCCCACCACCGGTCCCCTCATGCCCTCCTCTCCATCTCACCCCCACCACCGGTCCCCTCATTCTCTCATCTCCATCTCATCCCCACCACCGGTCCCTCATGCCCTCCTCTCCATCTCATCCCCACCACCAGTCCCCCCATTCTCTCATCTCCAGACTCACCAGCTACTTACTGTTCCTCTCACCTGACAGGCACGCACCCACCTCAGGGCCTATGCACTTGCTGTTCGTCCTGCCTGGAAATGTCTTCCCCAGATACCTGCATGGCCCCCGCCCTCACCTCCTTCAGCCTCGTGTTCCCACGGCACCCCCTCAGGGAGGCTCGCAGAGCACCCTGTTTAGGAGCACCATCCCTCACTCCTCATCTGCTTGGACCATTCCCTTCTCTCCATTCATTTGTCCAAGGTCTGTCAGCCCCATCAGAATGGCAGCTCCTGGAGCAGACACTTTTGTCTACTTTTCACCTGTGCCACCTCTGGATTCCCAGCACCTGGCACACGGCCTGGTACGTAGGAGGTGCTCAGTGAACGCTGGTTGACTGACTGACTGACCGAATCACACAATCAGGAAATCCTGAGTGTCACCATCACGACATCATGGAATTATAGAGGCGCTGTAAACTAGTCACAGAAGCTTGGAGTCACTTGAATGCCAGGCTCTGGGGACCAATTCCTCAAACCCAACTCCCAGAGTTGCAGGATCAGACAGACAGGGAACTACTGATTCCACCCTCCTGTGCCCGCAGATTCTAAAGCCACGGACCCAGACTTGGAGCTAGGGCTCGGGGTTCTGACACGGCAAGGCTGGCAACTGGAGAACTAAGGCTCCAGGTTCCCCGGGCTGGAGGGACACGGCCCAGCTTGCTGCATCCATGGGTCCCTGCTCCTGCCACCTGCACCTCCCCCAAGTCCCTCTCCACCACTCATGACTCCTGCCCTCAGGAAGTGCTTCTGAATGTCTAGCCCCAATCTCATCCCTTGCCTGAGACCCCGAGGCCCTTTAGCTAAGGCCTCTAACCATGCCCACGAAGGCTCATTTGAACCACCCACTTCAAGGATTCACAGAGTTTTTCTGTGTCCCCAAACTCAGCTTCCCTCTCCATCCTCCCTGGTAGAAACCCAGGTCTTGTGGACATCTTTCCAACCTTTGTCAGAATCTGCTATGTAAGGACCTTGTAGTAGTATTTCAACTTCAGGATGAATTCAGATTCTCACAGCTAGAAAGTATCTGGTCCAGCCCCAGGTGAATGAACAGGAAAGCTGAGGCCAGGCCCTGCAGTCTTGTACTGATGTCCTCCCTGAATCTTCTCCTTTCTCTTCTCCCTACCTCCCCCCCGCCACACACACACACACAAGGCCAGTGCCCTGAATCTTCTCTCATGGGACAGAGGAGACCAAGACTAAGATGAATGAATAAAGGTAGCAGGAGGGAGGGGACTCAGTTGCCTGAAAAGAATCTTCTGTCTTCTCCTTGATAGAAAAGGAACAGCCATAGGGTAAATGCCTACTTGACTTCTGGGGCAATTAAAACCTGGTCCTTTCCACTCTGCTATCAGGAAAGGATACAATGTTAGCCATTCACATTTTAGTATGAATTTAGATTCAACATTCAATGACAGCTCTCTGGAGAAATGTGTTAAGAAAGATTCTGGAGTCCATTCAGACTCACCGGGGAAGTGCTACAGTGATCAAGGTCATCAGAAGGGTCACTCACCTCGGGGACCAAAGCTGTCAGGTCTGTGGTTGTCATTGGGACATTGCTGGGAACCTGGGACCAAGACCAAATGAGAAGACATGGTGAACGCAGATACAGGAAGGGATCCCTCAGCACACACAAGGTGGTTTTGTCCACATCCTGCCCCACCTCCACCCGACCAATCACATACACATCTCTACAAACACTCATGCTCCTTCCAGTGGCCAATGATCACTGAGTGCTCACTACATGCCAAGCACATGTCTTTGCTCGTTTCACGTTTACAACAGCGCAAAGAGGCGGGCGCTCTGATTACTCTCATGTTATGAATGGGGAACTTGAGGTTCCTCTCTAGACTCATACACTGGTAAGTGGTGGCACCAGGATTTGCCCGGGGCAGGCTAATTCCAGAACCTTCAAGCCCCTCTGCCAGAGCTCACAATCTGCAGGCCCAGGGATCTGGCGACTCCCAGACTTCACACTCAGAGTCTGCCTGGCTATGACCGCCACCTCCCTCCAGCAAGAAGACGCCTGCCGCAGAGCTCAGGAGCCTGTTCAGTGCTCTCTGGACCCTACCTGCAGGAAGTGCTCCCTAGGGCCTGAGCTGCGGATGGAGGCGGAGGGGCAGCGGGGGCAGGAGGGCGGGGAGGGCATGGGGACAGGTGGCTTAGAGCTCACTGCCTCTGGAGAGCGCTAAGGCCAAGAAAATGCCTCTGGATGCGGCCTCGAGGGGTGAGTCTTCCAGACATCTGTGAGGTGTGAGGAGCCAGATGGAAGCAGAGAGGTCTCAGAGGCTTCAAAACAAGTGTCCGAGTGACCTTGGAGTAGTCTAACCCTACTCTTCCTCTCTTCGACTCAAATCTGCTCTTGAGAAAGCACTAGCAATGTTCGTCAGTCACACTTCAGTGTAAAATGGGCTCTTGACTCTGAAAGGGATCCTCTGATGCCAGGATGTCACATGCCAGTTCTGAATAACTGAAAGTAACTCCCTGGAAGGAAAGACTCAGAAGTCCCCCTGAGATTTAGCCATTCGGAGGGCCATTGTCCATTAGCGATGTTTGCCACAACAAGAATGGACATGTGCGTGTTAAGGCCCCTGGCTGGGTTTGGGGGGCTTGGGGAAGTCGATGACATCACCAGCTACACTCTTCACAACGGACTGCAGGGGGAGGAGACGGCATGGGAGGGTCTCGGGGCTGCTCACCCATGTGGCTCTGACCCAGCATCTCCTCCCCCACCCCCTGCAGTGGGCAAGGCCTTCCGACTCACGTTGATGTCCAGCTCTATGTACTGGTTAGAGATGAGAGGCAGTGTGGCCAAAGTGAATTCCACAGACCCAAGAGGCCTCAAGGGCACCAGGCCTGCATGGGGAGAGGAAGAGAGAGGAAGACCCCACGAGACAAGCTCCCCAAAATAACAGGCCCTACTTCCATTTACTGAGCGCCTGGCGCTCTACTAAGTGTTCGCCTGGGCACCGCCGTCATCCTCATGATACAGATAAAATCTGAGGCTTGGACAGAAGTCACCAGCCCACGGCCACAGAAACCACGCCAGGACCGCCGTTCCCCAGAGCTGGTGTCACTGGCCACACTGCGGCCCTGCCTCTCTCACATGCCGCCACGTACAGACACATCTGCCCCAGCTTTCCTGTCCTCATCCTGGCCACACCTGTTTACACCTGTCAAAGCTCATCTGTGCCCACAAAAGGCATCGGTCCATGTCTCCGTAGGCTCAAGGAGACAGGTGGCCGCTGTGGCTGTGGGCCTTGGGTTTCTTACTTGAGCTCTCTGGGCCTGTCATCTTGTTTGTCCAGATAATAATAGTATCTGCCTCATGTTTCTGACCATGCTGGACACCACAGGTGCCTGAAGCCCCCAGCAGAGGGAGAGCTGGGGGGCTATGAGTCCCCCATCCTGCTGGACCAGCCTCAGCCCACACCCCCATGAGGGCTCCTCAAAGTGGTGGCCTCATCCGCCTGAGGAGGAAGTGGAAGGTCCCAGAATCCTGTCCCTTCCTCTTGCCATGGTACCGCCACCCTTTGGGGTAATGGAAGGGGGTAGAAGGGGCCAAGGAGGGGGTTGGGCCCCAACTTACTCAGCACAGCCCCGAGGAGCTCATTCACCACGCTCAGCACACTGTCCACCACGGGGCACAGCTGTGTCCAGAGGAGACGGGTGTTACAGGGAAGTAAGAGTGGGGCCCAGCCTGGCACAGGGGGCCGCTGCATTTTCTATGCATGTTTTGCCATAACATCTGCTATCCCAGGGACCAAGGCAAGGCAGAATGTAGAGAAGGGTGGGGGGACACGCGGAGGCAGGGAGGGGCTGGAGCTTGACGTGTTGGGAGGGTGGAGTGGGTGATGGGGAGGGCCAGTTACATGGACCCCTCAGAAAACCCCGAAGGATGCTGGGGGAACAGGGGAGACATACTTCAGAGGCCAGTTAGGGTGTGCGGACCAGGCCCTGCCCTGAGGGGGCAAAGGCAGCTGTTCCCTCTCAGGTCTCAGGTCCCTGCTGTCTTCCAGCTGGACCCCGGGAGACCTAGCCCATGGACCCCCAAGAAGATTCCACCCCCCTCCACCCAGAGAGCCAGGCTCAGGCCAGGCTCTACATATACCACATTCACTGCATAAAGTTAGGACTCAGAGGTCTGGGGACGGATGGTGTCAGTGTGTTTCTGAAAACCCCTGTGTTGTGCGAACAGGGAGCAGGCGGCTCAGCTTGCAGAATCCCGAGTCTGCAAATCACAGAACCCGAGTCTGCGAATCACAGAACCCGAGTCCACCTGAGCAGGAAGCTCAGGCGACCCAGCCCAGCCCCTTCATCCCACATCTGTGGCCGGAGAAGAATGGTGGCCTGCCCAAGGTCACAGCTGTTCTCAAGGGGACGGGAGGGCTGCCTCTTCATTTAAACCCTGGGACCTCAACCTCCAGGACCCCTGGAGTCAGGCATGTCACAGAACTGCGAGGACATCCAAGGGGCTCTGATGGGGGGGGGAGCCGCCCCGTGGCGCCAGCCGTGCGACCTGCGGGAAGGAGGTACCGTGCGGCCAGGGTGGCTGATTGCACAAGAGATGCAGAAATCCAATCGCTAGGAGAAATCTCCAATCTCTAAATGCCAGCAATTAGCTCTTGTTTTTAAAGCCTCTCTGAGTCGTACATATCCTGTGTTGCAGCCAGTTGTCCCAGAGACCCTAGTGAGGGGTCACGGTTTAAGTGCAGCCCCCCTTGTCGAAAGCCACCAGAGATGGGTCTGGTTGGGGTCCTTGCTGCTGGGAGCTTCCCTTCTCCCCCTGAGCTACTTTCCGATTGGCTCCTTCAAGTCCAGGGCAGTTTTGCCAACCTCAGCGCCCATGCCCTGGCGCCCTCCACAGGTGCCCTTCACGAGGACTCACAAGAGAGGTGCTGCCAGGGCTGGGGTTCAGGGGGCCGGACTGCCCCGTGCTGGCTGTGTGAGCCCAGCAGCCCTGCCTGCTGTGGCCTCAATGAAATGGACCTTCGGCCAGACCACCTTTTCCCAAGTGTGGTTTGTGTCCCCTAGAAGCCAGGATGGCTGGGGCCGGCCATGGGCAAGCATCCGGGAGCTAGTGTAGCTATAATGTGTTTCTCTTATGAAGTATTGATATACATGTCTGTAATTTTCTGAACATATATGCCAAGCACAGGGCTCAGTAGAAAAATCACTGAGCGACCCAAGTTTAATTCAAAGCGAGTTTAAAGCAAAGTTTAAAGGCAATAATAATACAGGTGGCAAAGACAGAGCAGGGGATAAGAAAGGGACATGAGACCCTGAACGGTTTGGCTCAGTGGATAGAGCATCGGCCTGCAGACTGAAGGGTCCCAGGTTCGATTCCGGTCAAGGGCATGTACCTTGGTTGAGGGCACATCCCCAGTGGGAGGTGTGCAGGAGGCAGCTGATCAATGTTTCTCTCTCATCGATGTTTCTAACTCTCCCTCTCCCTTCCTCTCTGTAAAAAATCAATAAAATATTATTTAAAAAAAGAAAGAAAGAAAGGGACATGAAATTGGGAGCAGGAGAGTCAGGTCCTCTGAAGCTATAAATTTAGGATTCAAAGGTCTGGGGATGGATTGTGCCATTTCCTCCCCCCCCACACCCCCACCCCCGCTCCCATACACTCAGACTCACAGGCGGCACTTGAGCAGGTGTGGGCGGGCAGGATGGATTACCTGGTGGGCGTGGAAGGGAAGAACAGCCTAATCCTGCCTGGCGCCCAGATTTACGCAAAGCCAGGGGAGGAGGGGCCCCGCCGGGCACAGGGGCACGCCTGGCCCGAGGCCCCCACACTCACCAGCCCCGGCAGCACCTTGAAGAGTGTCTGTTCCGCGAGCCCCAGGAGCGGTGTGGGCAGCAGCCTGGGAGAGTAAGAAGCCCAAGAGTGTGGCCAGCACACGGGACAGTGCCAACCTGGGCCACGGGCAGGGCGCTGGCTGGGACTTTGGAGACGGGGTTTAGATCTTGGCTCTGCCTCGTCACGAGGCCCAGGGGAGGATTTCCGTTTCCCCGTTTGCACAGTGCCTGCCTCGCAGAGCTGTTGCTGCCAAGATTAAATATGAGTGTCTACGCATCAGGTACACAGTCTGCTCGATAAACATCGGTTCCTTTTGTCTCCTCCAGCATTTGTACATAAGGTGACATTTGAACCTAGAGCAGCACCCAGCTTCGAGTGCGAGTTCAATAAATATTTGTTAAATGAATGAGTATTTGAAGAAGGAAGGAAGGCAGGAAGGCAGGAAGGCAGGAGAGGGTGGCCTGTGGATGAGAAGGTCTGTTTAAAGATTATAGGGGCACAGAGGGAGGGGTGACAACCACAGAACCACAACCACAGGACACCAGCACCACCCTGGGCTCCATTCCCTCCAAGGCCCCCATAGACCACTGGAGCAGCCAGAAGCCAATGGGATTTTAGGGCCCCAAAGACCCTCTCTGGAATCCCCTTATTAGGGCCCTTCTGGAGACAGGAGCAAGCCTGGCCCACCCGACTCCAGGGAGCTAAGACAGAGCTGTCTGATTACCTATCGCTGCTCAGGGCCACCCAACAAAGATGGGGTAGGGTGTGCGATTAGGCCTGGCATGTAGACACTAATGGGTAGACACGAAGCGTGAGGCCGGGGAGGAGGCAGGTGCCCCCAAGGGTGGGTGTGGAGCCCTGGGAAAGCCTGGGACCTAATTCCAGAGACCAGCCCACCTCCATCCCTGCCTCAATCTGGAGTGTGACCTTGGGCACGCCCCTCGCCCTCTCTGGGCCTCAGCTGTCCCCTGGGAGTGATTATTTCACAGTGTCGGGAGGGCCACTGTGCCTCAACGGCTGTGGGAAGAGACAAATGTGAAGTGCCAGAGCCTTCCAGATCATCAAACACAGGTCCTCGTTATACAGATGGGGACACTGAGGCCCAGGCTGGGGAGGGGGTTGCCCTGAGGGTCACACAGCAGGTCAGGGTTAGAGCTGGATCTCTAGGGTGAGGACAGCAGGCACTGAGATGCTGGCAGATGGGATGGAGGGGACCGCAGAGGCCCTGCTCCATGTGGGAGAGGGGACAGCAGGATCTCAGGGCCAGAGAAGGGGGACTCCCAGGTGTGGGTGGTACAAGCTGTGGGCTGAGCCGAGGTCCCTGTCCATGGAGGGACTCATGGTGGGGGGTGAAGACTGGGGGCAGGAAGGCTGGAGGCTGGGTGAACTCAGGCTCCGGAGAGATCCAGAGATGCCAGTGCGCGTGGGCTCAGCCTGCGGACTCACCCTGAGAGCAGGGTGATGTGGCCCAGGAGCGTGCTGCAGCGCTTGAGGATGAGGATGGGCGTGCCCCGCGAGCTCATGCCCACGGCCACACGCGACGACACGTTCACCTCGGCGGCCAGCTGCAGGAGGCCCCCCAGGGTCCTGCGAGACAGGGATGCTGGGCGTGTGGCTAGGCCTCTAGGCTCCACCCACAAGGGCCCTCCTTAACCACGCCCACCCCGCTCCGACCCAGATGAGCAAAGTGGGTGGCCTTGCAAGTGATCTGGTCCCTTGTCCTCCTCTCACCCCCTGCCTTCCTGTAGGTCCCCCATCTTGCACATCCCCCATCTCTTCAGTGAGCTCCGAATAATGGGGTAGGGTCTCCAGGGAGCATGAGTGGCAGCCCCTGGGGGTCAGTGGATGGAGGTCCATGGGGAGGGGTAATGGGTGGGATCCAAGAAGGGAACAGTAGTGTAGAAGTCTCTTGGAGAGGAACTAGTGGGAAAAATAGGGGGCACTGGAGTGGGTGTGGGGGGCAGTAGGAGAGGGATCCCCAGTGGGCAGTGGCATGGGGTGGGGAGCGATAGGGTAGAGGTTCCCAGGAGCACACTCACCCGGAGCCTTCCAGGCCCACCTTGGTGTGCAGGCTCAGCTGCACCCCAAAGCCCGGCAGCAGCTTCAGTGACACCTGTGGCAGTGTGAGCTCCTCGACCTTCAGCCTGGGATGGAAGTCGGGGGGAGGGCCCCCCGTGCCAGCCTCTCAGAGCCTGGGACATCCCAGACCAGGAGGGGCCTACAGGCCCTCTTGCGTGTGTCTCCCACCCCACTTCTAAGCCATAAATTCAAATGTGGACCCAGTCATCTGGGCTTCAGTTTCTTCATCATCTATAGCGTGGGACAATAGCACTGGTACCCAGCCTCACTGGAGGCTACACAGTAGGTGGGCCGTCAGGAAGCCATGCTGCGGTGACTCACCCGGACAGCTCCTCCACAACACCAAACACCCCTCCGTAGCCCAGCAGGCCGCCTCCTCCAAGCAGCCCTCCGGAGCCCAGGAGGCCCTGGTTCACCGATGTGACCGACCCCAGCACATTCTGCAGGATGGGACCCCCGACCAGCGAGTTCTGGATGGCTGCAGAGAGGGTGGGGAGAGATAGGTTCCTTTTACAACGGGGAAACCAGGGCCCAGAGAGGGGCAGAGACTTGCCCAAAGTCACACAGAAAATCAGATTTGGTGCCAATAGTACGACTAGGGCTCCTGACCCTGGGCCACCTGGTAGGAGGACAGAAGCAAAGGAGGGAGCACACAGCCACCAGGGCTTGATCAAGATGGAGAAGGCAACCTCTGCTCCTCCTGGGCACCCCTAGCCGGACTGTGTGCCGGCTGTGAGCAGGGCAGGCCAGAGGGGCCACCTTGTGGAGGCTGGGGTGGGGCGGGGGGGCCTCCCTGAAGCATTTTCTATTCAGGACTTCTCTACTGCCCATGAGACTATCACCCTGGGCAGTGGGAACACAAAATGCTCCCACGCCCAACAACGTGGGACAGCCAGCACCCTCCCCTTGACCGCCTCAACCCCACTCGTCCGCGTCCCTGAGGCTGATGCAGCCCCACAGGGCCTCAGCCCAGATCAGCCAGGCCCCTCTCAGAAGAAAGTGAGCTAACCACTCAGAGTCTGCGAGCAAACCTTTAGGTCCCTGGATTCTCTCAGCAGTTGAGAACCGCAACCTGTTCCCTCTGTTCCTGAAAGCAGACGCTCCAAGCACAAGGATGGGGTCATTTGCACTGCCGCTGGGCCCCTCACAGCTGTCGTTGCGGGCTCACCTTTGCCAAGTTCATCCTTGTCGATCCGAGCGAGTGTGCCCACCGTCTCAAGCAGCCCCTGGCAAGGAGTCGCCAGACCCCAGAGCAGGAGCAGGGACCACATGCCCAACGTTGTCGGCAGCACACCTGGCAGGGGCAGAAGCAGGAACTCTGAGGCCCTCCTCATGCCCAAGCCTTTCCCCTCCCTGTGCCCCACCACCAACCTGGTGCCCTTCCGCTGGCCGGGCACAATTCAAGGCCAGCTTCACTCCCAGAAAAGCCCTCTCCATCCAAACGCAAACGGCGCTACCATGTGCACCCACCGTACAGCCTCAGCGCACGCTACAGTCCTCAGGGCACTTTCCAGGCCTCTGCCTCACAGGATCTCATTTCAGAGATGGGAAAACTGAGGCCGAGAGCGGGGGGACTTGCCCACGGTCACAGAGCTAATGAGTGACAGGGCCAGAATCTGAGCCCAAGTCTATGTGACTTAAAATGTCTCCTTTCTCTCCTCTCCTGCCTCCATCCCGAATGATGTTAAAGAAAGAATGGGATGGGAAATGAGAGCCTGGCTAGCTTTCTAGTTTCCTGGAGGAGCGTTTCTCTTTATGGAGTTCTATACCTGCCCCCTCAGTCACCTACCTTCCGTCCCCATGTCGCCCTGCTTAAGCCCCACTCCCTGCTGCCCTTGTGATAGAACACAGGCTCCTTACCAGTACCCACCAGGTCCCTGCCTGCCTCTTTGACCTCCTTGGTCTTCAACATGACAAGCTCCTTCCCACCCCAGGGCCTTTGCACAGGCTGTTCCTTCTTGGAGGAAGGCTCTTCCTCTGGTTCTGTGCAAGGCTGACTCCTCACCCTTCAGGTTCTGAATGCATGTCACCTCCTTGACCTTGTCTGAAGAGGCCCCTCTGTCACTGAGCCTCGCCCAGAATGTTTGTTTTTAGGCGCTTATCACAATTTGTAGCTAAGCTTGGTGTTTGTGTCCTTGTTTGCCTTGGAAGCTCCCAGAGGGCAGGGATGTGTCCGGGCCTCCAGGCATGGCTGTGTGCTGGAGACGGTGCCTGTTGAGGAGCGAGAGGGACGAAATCCAGCCCCACCTCACTTGCCCAGAGTTTGCCCTGGTGCCATTTGCACAGAGGTTCATAGGGACACATCTGGGCCAGCAGCCATCTCAGCAGTGTCTGCCTGCTTCCCCAGGACTAGTCTCATCGTGGCGCTCTGTAAGCTCACAGAGGGAAGATTCCCACCATGGGGAGCCAGTTGGCTCAGAGAAAAATGGGTGCCCTTCAGTCCTCCCGTCCCTGCCTTTGCCCCTCGGTAGGCCCCAGTATTCCCATCAGTAAAATGAGCGTTACCTCCAGGTACCCCAGGGCCCTCCTATGGTGAATTCTCTCTGTGCCTGCTATTCAGCTGGGACACCAGGCTGGCCAGAGGGTCAATGGTTGGGGGGCTGCACAAGGACAGGGCTGCCACAGGCTGCCTTACCCGCTCCTGCAGCTCCACGAGGGGTGGGTGGGGTCCCCAGCCTCCTGTCGGTTCCTCTACCCTCTCAGGCCTGGGGGAGGCCCTTATATGCCCGCAAGGGCTCTGGAGGCACAAAGGGGGCACAGCCGCCAGGAACCCGTCAATGTGTCATGTCAGGAAGCAAATTGCGGTCTTCCCTGCGGGCGGCTAAGCCTTCCTTCTGGAGGAGTGAGAAAGGGGAGCTGGGGAGCTGGGGCTGGTGCCCTGGGGCTGCAGAGGCACCGTCCTCGCCCCAAGAGCTGGGGGGTGAACATTCAGCCCACTGTAGGGTCTCCCCTCAGGGTCCCAAGGGCCACCCTGTGGCACACAGTCTACCCTGCCTCCCCACCTACCCCAGTTAAGGCCAGGGAGGAAAGGAAAGAGCTAAGGCTGCTGGGTTTCCTGACCCTCTGCTGCCCCCACCTCAGGCCTGGCCTGGAGATGGCCCTGGGGCCTGGAGAGAGGAACTCTGGGCCAATAAGGGGGAAGGGCACCAACCCCCTTCCCCTTCCATCCCCAAGGCCGGGTGTCCCCCAAGCTCCAGAGAAGGCTGCTCTGTTCCCTTCCTGAGGCTGGTGCAGATGATGGTGGAGAGAAATTCATGCATTCTGCAGCAAGCATTTATAGAGCTCCTACTGTTTGCTAGGTGCCACTGTAAACAAAAGGGACAAATCCCTGCACTGGAGGAGATGACCAGTAACAATACAACACAATTAAAAATTTTTCTACGCCCTAGCCGGTGTGGCTCAATGGATAGAGCATTGCCTAAGGACTGAGGGGTCCTGGGTTTAATTCCAGTCAAGGGCACATGCCCGGCCTGCGGGCTCAATCCCCAGTAGGAGGCGTGCAGGAGGCAGCCAATCAATGATTCTCTCTCATCATTGATGTTTCTATCTCTGTCCCTCTCCCTTCTCTGAAATCAATAAAAATATATCAAAAATAATTTTTTTTCTAGTAGCCACCTTTTTTTAAAGGTAAAAAAAAAATCAAGTAAATTAATTTTAATCATATAGCTTATTTAACCCAAAATATTATTTAACATTTAATCAATATAGAACTACTAATGTGGTAGTCTACTTTTTTTTCTCTCATCCTGTCTGTGAAATCACTGACAAGGCAGCAAATTCGGACTTGCCACATTTCAAACACAGTCACCCCGTATGGGCACTGACCATGGCATTGGACAACACAACTCTGGAGGGGAAGATAAGCACATGAAACCGTACATCAGAGGCTGGTGACAGAAATAAAGTAGGGAGGGTGCAGTTCTCACTACGTGGTCAGGGGAGGCCTCAGATTGGAGCAGGAGGAGAGGGAATGGGCCAGGCAGCTGCCTGGGGGAAAGCCGGACAGCAATACCAAGGCTCGGAGGCCATGTGTCCAGGAACCCTGGGGGGGCCTGTGTGGTGGCAGGGAGTGAGGGACATGGAATCAAGGAAGTGACAGGCCCTGCAGGTTACTGTTCAGACTTACAGACTTCAGCTGTCATTTGCAATTCTTCTGAGGGTACTGGCTTGGGTAACCCCTCCTCCAGGAAGCCCTCCTGATCCCCACGCTGGCTGTGATCCCACAGCCCTCTGGGATTTTCTCTCCCAGAGCCTGTGACATGCCAGGCTGTAACCGTGTTTCTGGGTGTCTGTGGGTCTGTCTCCTGCCTGGTGAGATGGGGAGGAGCCATGGCATCGGCCTGGTCCACCTCCGAACCTCGGAACCCCTAACCATGCAATGCTCATCCCAATGACTTTAGAAACCGAGTCAGGTGACTAAACCCACATACATTTTTTAAAAAATAAATTTTAATTAAAATATAAAGCACATATAGAGAAGGGCCTGGATCACAAGTGTACAGCGGGACGAATTTTCACAGCCCGAGCCCTCCAGAAGCCGCCTGGTGTCCCTCCAAGTCACTGTCCACCAAGGGTCGCCATTGCCCCGACCGCTCACACAGTGGGCGAGCCCAGGACGCTCCTGAGGGTCACAGAACGGAGTGGCACCTACGTGCCCTCCTGTGTGTGCCTCCCTCACACTCACCGTCCATGAAATTCATTCGTGTGTGTGGGACAACTCGTTCTTCTGTGCTGTATATGCCACTGCACTACGTGAGCACACCAGCGTGCTATCCGTGCTCCTCCAGAGGCACCCGGGCTGCCCGTTGTTGGCTGTGATGAATATTGGCAAGTCTTTCTGTGGACATATATTTTTATTCATTTCTCCGGGTGCTTAGCCAGGAGCGGGGTTGCTGGGTCGTCGTGGTGCGCGCTCAGGTTCCGCCTCCCCAGGCACTGCCAGGGCTCCGCAAGCGCCTCCGCCATCGGGACCCCACCGGCAGCCTGGAGAGTGACCACTGCCCCACATCCTCGCCAGCGCGGGGTATTTTTAAGGCATTGGTTTGCGGGAGGAGGAGGGAAAGTTAGCATCCAGCAGTTATTGAGCACTTACTGTCTACAAGGCACTGATGCGTGTGAATGCGTATAGTCACCACAATCACCTGTGGAGTCAGCAATGTCATACCTCCCCATCTTACACTCAGGAACCAGAACTCTGCAAGGGGCAGCCACTGCTCCGAGGTCTCACAGGAGTCCAGCCAGGCCACCTGGCTTACCACCCATCAGCCTGGCCTCTTGAAAGGGCGGGAGATGCTACCTAGTTTCTGGTCTGCCTTTTTTTCCCCAGTTCTTTCCAGCTCCCCAGGCAAGTCTCCTCGGGCACCTAAGGCGAGTCAGGGATTGGGCCTGGCCATGCGAAGGAATTCATAAAATACACGTCTGTGCAACCCTAACTCAACAGGCCAAGGATAGAGGGCCTAGGAACTGCCATGTTTAACAAACCGCTAGCAGCGGTTCTCAACCTGTGGGTCGCGACCTCTTTGGCCGTCGAACGACCCTTTCACAGGGGTCGCCTAAGACCATCTCGCATATCAGATATTTACATTACGATTCATAACAGTAGCACATTACAGTTATGAAGTAGCAACGAAAATAATTTTATGGTTGGGTCACAACATGAGGAACTGTATGTAAAGGGCCAGAAGGTTGAGAACCACTGCGCTAGAGCAATCTGATGGAGGCCTTTGCAGAACCCTAGTGAGGGTGCTGGGCAGCCACGGAAGGGACTAGAGCAGGAAAGGGACTTGATGAGGAGAAAGACCCCTGGGCATTAGCTTTTAGAGTGAAGGCTCTGGAGCCAAAATTCCTGGGTTCAAATCCTGACTCTCTTACCCACTATTGAGTGACTTCCTTGCAGAGCCACAGTTTCCCCATCTGCAAAATGGGCTTATATTAAAGGTGCCCACCCTCACCTGACTAGCTGGCTGTGAGAACAGGCATCCTGGAAATGGACCTTAGAGCATCAGGGGAGGGTGCCAAGGGTGCCAGAGAAACTCCGACAACAGCAAGATCCACCCCGGGAGGCCTTCCTGGGCGTACCTGAGCTGAGAGTGAGCTGGGAAGGGAGAAGGGCGGGTGGTGACGGGTGTGGACACAGATGCCGGGGATGTTGTGCTGTCTTTGTCTTCCCAGGTGTGGGCTGCCTGGCAGGCCCCACGGGCGTGATAGCATGGTCCCAGGATCAAAGACCTTGAGCCAGACACACACCTGTCTGGCCCTCGGTTTCTTTAAAGGAGGAGGATGCATTCGCTGTTGCGTGATGTAACGGAGCAAGGAGACTTGGACTCAGGCAGACAGGGTCCAAGTCCCAGCTCCACAGGTACCTGTGCCCTTGGGGGCTGGTCACTTTATCGCTCAAAGCTGCCACTTCCTCATCTAAGGTTGGGAGAATCTTGAAGGTAACCAGTGCCCATGGGCACAGAACTTCCATCACTGCCTCCCCGGGGTGAGGTCACAGGGCTGGGCTCCCCTTGCCAGCCTAGCCCCCATGTTCTGCCCAGGGTACATTTGTGACTGACACTCAAAGGATGCTGAAATCAGATTGGAGGCTGGAGCATCCAACCCCTCTCCCATTTTACTGATAGGAGAACAGGTTCAGAGAGCAATTGCCGTTTGGCCAAGGCCACAATGTGCTCCTGGTGGGAAGCCAGGCCGCCGGACTCTCACAGCTTTGTGCCTTGGTTTCCCCATCTGCGCACTGAGCCTGGGAGGTTGTGGGGAGGCTTTCAGTGGCCAGGAGTGTGCTGTACATCGAAGGGTGAAG